AGTAATAAATCAGATGTTAATTCGAAAAGAGGCACTGCTAATATTCCGTGAGGGGATTTCCACTTCAGGCAAGGTAGTTCGTCCAACTTTTGCTTTGAAAGAGATGTAGGAAGGTCTGAGAACGATCCTCGGGAACAGGGTTCCCTTCAGCCCTTAGAAAGCCTGCTTAATATTCTGAAAAGCCACCCTAATCCTATTGGCATTAATGCTGGGGAGATGGCAAGCCAGATCTTCCCGGTACAGCAGAAACAGCAGTTAACACTGCAATGAACAGAATAATTCTGTTTTCACCTAAAATTCCATTCCTTTACATGTTAGTAATTTTTTGCTATACATTCCTAAACCTTAGGAATATATAGTCTTCTAAGACAGTGATGGTTTTACCCAGCAGACTACATCTTGGGAGCTGGGTCTCGGCCCATGTTAGCTGCCATGGCTCCACTGACCAGAGGCCAGTCCTGCCCATTTACCCTGGCAGATGTCAATAACACCGATTTAAGCCGCCTGGTGTGTCCACGCCGTGTGTACTTAATGCAGCTGGAGAAATCCCCGCCCCTTCCGAGCACCTTCTCTAGTGGTCTCGTCAGGCTGACAGAGGCGGTTTAGCTTCTGCAAACACCCCAGAGACGCCAAAGGGACCCCCGCCAGCTGTCGTAGGCACACAGCTGCCTTTCTGAGCCCAGCAGGCTGCATTTAACTAGATTTGTGGCCAGTTACTAACTTCCTCAATTAGCAGAAGTGCAGCAGGCCTTTTGTATCTCGATACTGGTTCAAAATCTGTAGTAAGTCATCACTGAAATGTGGTGATCTCCCTAAATCGGTAATTGTCCCTCCTGAATCTGTGAGAACAAGGGATGCCTCCTCTGTCTACACTAATAACAAAGGTATTTTACAGCAATTCTGATAGAATAACATGGTAATACAACCTGTAGTCCCCACCTCCCTCCTGCCCAAGACATTTATATGGGCAGCTGGTTACACCCCCAGCAGGTCCTATCTCTGGGAGAAAGCCATGGTAGAAAGAAGGTCAGGGAAGGGATAGTCCTAAATAACTCCCCATTGCTTCAGCCCTTGAAAGGACAGTAGAAGGGGAATGAGCTGAACCTCAGGGTGCTCCATCGAACCCACCCGGTGCTGGAAGGTTCTGCCCTGCAGCAGCTTCCCTAAGCGGAAACCCCAGCAGCATGCCCGGCTCGAGTCAGAGCTGCAGAACTTCATTTATTTCAGCGTTAGGTGCTTAGCTTTTTGCCTTCATCTGAACACAGCAATCAGAGCATGAAATGCTCACTTTCACATTCAGCACAAAGCCCAGTCTGCACTTTATATCCCTTTTTCTTTCTCCCATTGCTTCTTGGTATGGACAAGAAATCAGAGCCAGGAAAGGGGCTGGAGCTACAGGTTGCAATAAATCTGACAACCTCCTTTTCTCTCTCTTTTCTCCCCCCAGCAAGGATTTTTCTCATCACACTGCACACCCGGTCTTTCTGGAGGCACACAGGTAGTGTTCATCTGCCACAGTGATGGGCTCAGACTCTGCGAGGCACTTGTTTACACTATATATAAACAATATAACTCCTAGGTGCTATAATCACGTTATCAGCAATGAGTAACATGTTCTGTAAAACCGAAATAAACACATAAGGAAGCTGCTAGAGTATGCTGAAGGTGGTTATAAACTGTCCTTCTGAGATCAGTTTCTTGATAGTTGGTCAAAATACCAACCACACAGTTACTGAAATCTTCATTACAATTTTCTTTGCCTTCTTAAGTGATCTTTCTCATATTAAAATAGCCATGTCAGTAGGAAGTATTGTGAGGGCAGAATTCAAACTCTCCAGCACGCACTCCCCAGCCACCGGGACTCCATCAGCATGTTGGTAAGCTTGTGTCAAGAAACGATGCGCCCCTGGCTAAAAATTACTTATTTAACGGAGCTGCTAAAAAAAATTGGAATGTCTCTCTTTAAACGTTTGACCCTGAGGGAGAAGAGGAGGAGAGAGAGGGAGGGAGGAGAGAGAAGATGATAATCGCTTTAGATAACAACCCGACTCATGCTAACAGCAGCCTAATTGCTATCTAAGTGCATTTAGCATTAAAGAGCCACACCTAGAGAGGTACCTGTGCAGAGGAAGATTAGTTTTAAATGGAGGAAGGACAGAGATGTAAATGAACTTTCAGCTGAGCACAGTGGAAAGTAAGAAATAGTTGTTTATGTGGAAACTGCCTTAAATCCAAGAGCTACTTGGTACTGCTTCAGATAGCGGGAGGCGGCCGGTATTCATGTGAGAAGCAGGTACCCTACAGGGGTCAAAACGAAACGGGGATTTATATTTAGGCAGGGAAAAGAAAATAACCATATGCGGGGAGGAAGTCGTTGATGCTGTCTTTCTGGAATAAATCAGCTTCTGCAATGATTATGACTCTTCCATGAATAAAATTCATGAATGTCAGTCTGACGACACAAAGTAAGACCCTTACTTGAAAGCAGCCACGATTACATTAAGCGATTGGCTTGGAAGAAAGCTGCGTGAGAAGGGAAGGATTTGCAGTTGATTGATTAATCAAATGTATCAAAAGTCCCCTCTATAGGCCCCCGCCGCGCTTTCGTACATTTTAGGGTTTGTCCGTCTCCCCCGCGGCTGGTGGCGCGTTGCCGTAACAGCGCTGTGCTCCGAGCGCCGAGCCCCCGCTCCGGCCCCGGCCCCCCGGCGGGGGAGCCCACCCGGACAACCAGAGGAGGTTTGCACGTGGGTCGGGCAGCGCTCTCAGCCCCTCTCCCCCAGCTGCCCCTGCCCGCGCTCCCCGCGCCGGTTCCGAGGAGGGAGGCCGTGGCGAGCGGGGGCTGCCCGCGGGTCTCGGTCACAGCCCCCCCGGCTGCGGGGGGAAACCAAGACCCGGGTTTCTGAGCAGCGGATGATAAAATGCTGGTTTGTTCACGCAGGGCGCGGCCAGCGGAGCGGGGAGAGCCGAGCGGACGAATCGACTGTTCTCTGATGAAGGTGCCAGATCTTTCAGCCAGGGTATTGGTTTGTGCATTCGACTCTGAAGTTGCTTTCTGCTACATCTTTTGCTACTAAAAGTCGGTGATGTGAATGTCGATAGGCATGAACAAAAACCCCGTGTTCTGAAAAGCCTGAATCCGTATACGTAGGACATAAAAATCACTGTATTTCCTCCGTTTTGCTGTCCTCTGCAAGCCATTTTCATAGATTATAGTGTGTCCTTTTATTCTGGGAGAGTTTCAAAAGATTTGCGAGACCTATTCGTAATGGATTTTGCATGCAGAACACACGCGTGTGCCTATGCATTACCATGTTATTTTACATGGTTTTTTATGCATTACTATGTTATTTAAAATGTTATTTTCTCTTAAAAATAGCATATTTTTTCTAGTTGTAAATTGCATTTGATCCCAGTCTAGAAATATACACCAGAAATTATTTATCTTGAATTGTTGAATCATAGTATTTGGGTAGGCTGCTATGGCAACAGATATACAGATGTATCTGGAGTCACACATCAAAGGTTCTTATGGCAACTGTTTTTTGGACATCCCTTCATTGCACAAGCAGGAAAACATACTGAGTTCTCCAAGTAATCACTGGAAAGACAGCAACAGTAGAATAAACTGACATGTTTACTACTTTACATTTGTTTTTGAAATAAAGGCATGCCTTAAAAAAAAAAAAAAAAGAAAAGAAAAAGAACACAAAGGCCAAAACGACACTGTAGAATCAATAATGTGAAGACATTTTATGACTATTTATTATAAATTAGTATTTATATTATACTGATACTTAGAAACTCAGCCAATGATGGATTGGCATTGACAATGTGTTATAAGTTATACAGACTCCAAGAAGGGAACCATCCTTGCCCACAAGGCAGCTATTTTTTTCTTCTTTGTTTTTAAGACTTACTGAAATTTTACAAAAAAAGGACATTCCTATTAGAAATACATCAGGTTCAAATGACCTTGGCCCATGACACCCAGCAACGGTCCCAACCAAAGAAGGGGTTAGCCATGCTGCTGAGCGGTCCGTTTCAACTTTCCTTCTGCATTCACAGGAACTGTTCAATTTAATCAAATGGGCTTTGGATTAGCCCTTATTTTTCAATGTGCATTTCTCTTAACAAAGGTGAATTCTTCTTCCTCCCTTTCCTTTATTATCATCGCT